ATCCTGAATGAATCGAGATGGGTATTATTGATCCACCATATGATTAATCTTTATATTAATTGATATTATTAATATTGATTTCTACTATTCATACTCATTTGATGTAAAAAAATCACATACATATTGTTTATATTTTTTGTGTGCATTGAATGTATTTGTAAGTTCTAAGTGACTTATTTAGTTTTTTTCTTATTATGTGATTTATATGTTTTACTAAAGGGTAAGACCCCAGTGGAGTGAGGATTGAGGTGTCAGAATTTTATCCTAAGTTTTTTCGTTTGACTGTCATTATCATCTCTCCATATATTTTTCTTACAATCTCTACTACAAGTGTAGCACATCAAACCAGTACCCCTAATTTTGTAATCATTCATTTTCCTTTTTATGAATAAGAATAGATATTTTGTAACTTGAGAATGTATGGTCGATTCTTTCAACTAGGTTAGACCCTATGTTTTATTCCCTTTCTAGAATTTTTATGTAAAAATTTTAGTATTTAATACATTCTTCTAATTTATCTATACGTGTACTAGATTTTATGCAAAACTATAATGTAAAACTCTTTCTATCAGCATCAATTTTAGAGCACACAAAATTTGTTATTAGATTTGCTTTAAACTATCATAACTGGATTTTATTTTTCAAACACTAAAAAAATGTTATATTACAAAAAAGAATCTTACCCTTAATAAATCTGAGTTTGGAACCTAAAAACAGGGCTACAAATGTACCACTATGCTCAAAGAGTTAGTTATGTCTCGGCTTGGTTAAAGCTTGTTCATGATTTAACACCTTAACAAATACTCAATTGATAAAAAATAAACATGAGTAGTTTGGTGTTTTATTCATTAATGATAATGAATGGTATTATTTAAAGCTCGTAAAATTGCTTGCTAAAACTTCATTATATTTTGATAATTTGCTCATTTAAACCTCAATTACAACTTAATTTAAAATATGATTATGTGGAAGTTTTATTTTTTTTATATAACTACATTTATTTATGAACACAAGCTCTTTGTTGATGCTTGTTAAATTGCTTGTTTATTTAGTAATTCATTTGATAAAAAATTCATTTTAAAACTCAATAGATTGCTCATTAACAGACTGTTCAATCAGCTTAAAAACCCACTCAATAGCAGTACTCATTAATAAACTCATTTAGTTAACTTACAAGCAGAGCTTTTGAATCGAGATTAACACTACAACAAGAACTTGATTCAAGCTCAAGTTTATGTTGAATAGAAATTTTTTCCCGGGTACATTATGGGATTCAAGCACGAAATCGCTAGGAGGAATTGCTTCCGTCGATCAATATGCTTCAAAATGATAAGAAGCAAACCTAGGGCCAAGATAGCTTTGTAATCCGCCATGTTGTGTCTGCTTGAGCAGTCCATTGGAGCATCTGCCCTCATGCACAAATGTCAAAGTACCATAAACCAATTGGATATGCATTATTTTTTTTTAACACAGATCGATACAACTCACTTTAGTCAGTTGGTTAGGTGTTTTAACTATTAATTAAGAAGTCTTGAGTTTAAGTCGTGCGTATGTGAGTTTGTCTTAATTTTCCTAAATATCCAAAAAAAAATTATATGGCTCATCTTGATATGTTGGTTAGGAGTTCCAGCTATCAACTAATAGGTCTTGGGTTTGAATATTACGTATGTGATGTTTGCATGAATTTGTCTTAATTTGCCTAAATATCCCATTCTGCTTTTTCTAATCTTTGCAAGGCAAAAGTGGTCTTCTATTCATGTTAAGTATGTGACTCCTATGACTATCATACATTTAAATGGTGTATGCCAAGTTTATAATACAGGTTGAACAAAGGAAAGCCGATGATTATATCAGTATTTGATTGTATTAATGTGTTTCTTTAATATTAAGCGAATTTCAATTTCAATTTAAGCAAGAGCTGCATGTGTGGTTCAAATGTAGGTACTTTGGCTAGGAAATGCCAGCTTAACATAAAGGCCACTAATTTGACCACATGGATTCTTCTCATCTATAGAACATTCCCTTGAATGGGCTCATTGTGGCGTGATGATTGTTGTTGATGAGAAGCACAACAAATTTTAAATATTTAAAGTTCACACTACAAGAAAAATAATTTTTGTAGTATTTTTAGAGGGTTTTTCTGACAATTTTAAGCGCCACAAAAAACATTACACTGTTTCCAAAATCACTGCACGACTGCGGTAATTGGTATTCGTTGTAATGAGTTTTCGCAATCGTCCGGATAGAGTGTTTCTCAGTGGTTTTAACTGCTACTATTAGTAGCGGCTAAAATAGTAGCGGCTAAAACCACTACTAATTCTCTAGAATAGTGGCAGTTAATTGAATCGCTACTAGGTAATGTTGTGTTTATTATCTCTTTTTAGTAGTGAGATCATCACTGTTTGGTGGAGCCTAGCCTTTAAATAAACATCTTTGCCTTGACAAGTACAGATTATTCATTTACTACAAGATGTGATACTTAGATTATTTGTTGGATGAGTTTGACGGCGTATTTGATTTGAAACCTATGGGCACTGGAATGTTCAACCAATTAGAATATAATGAGTGTGTACACTACACATGATAATATTTAAAAGCCAAATAAGAAAATAGATAAATGAAAGCACAACTAAGAGATGTAATCCTAATTTAAGGGTTTTATATTTAAGTGTCTTGTCGTCCTATATATACATTACCCTCATAGTTAATAATTGCTTCTAACCATAAGAAAGGATTATCAATCAAGTCTAGTCACAAGACTCATAATAATAATAAAGTATTGTAATGGTAGGGAGTGATTATTAAGCCTTCGAAAGAGCCTTATAAATTCATAGCTAGAATGAGGGTCATCATACGATGAAGATCAATAAATTTTGAAAAATTAATAAAATGTAGATTAGAAATAAAATGCTATTAGGCACTTGTCTTAATGATTGAAAAAAAGAGAGACTTTTAACTTCTAAACAACTAGAGAGAATATACAAATTTTACTCAATACTCCAAAGAGATATATATATATATATATATATATTTAAGTTATTTAAATGGCAGGATAATAATCTTTTGTACTAATGAAGAGCGAAAGAGACTCTGATTGATTTGACAATTGAATTATGAGAAGAAATTAAATGATAACTAAAATGAAAATAGTGAAAGAATTAAACTAAAATTAGTTTCACACATTTATGTGGTTGAGTAGAACAAAATATAAATTTGATTTTTTTTTCTTTCTATTTAGATTGAAGGAATTTTAGGAAAGAATTTGATTACAATAAAATAATATTTTAATAAGTTTATTTTGAAATATGAATAAATATATATTTTCTGAAATTGTAGATGTTGATTTCTTGAACTACTTTCGAAATTCCTCCATTTCATGAAATCATGTAGCACTCAGATTTTCTTGTTTCGTTCATCAACACAACCCACAATCAAGCAAGACAATATCGTCTTTTTTTATGATGGTCATCGGTCACAACAAACTTGACACCATTTAGCCCTAATGACCATTGATGATGCACTTTTCCTTACCTGAAATCATCATTCTGCTCTATTAATCACTTTTGTCAAAACGCCACAACATTCCCTTCAATGTCATCATGGGCCCCAACGTCATCTCATCCAACAAGAAACATCACTAGCTATCAAATTCAAGATTCGGCGATGTGATAATATAAAATATATAAAGCAAATTTTGTCAATTTGGATGATGGTGAATGACATCTCCCAAATCAACAATGGAACATAGTAAAATGTGCAATTTATACACCTCTGTTAATTGATTCAATGATTGTTAAAATGTAAACTTCTTATAGTTCTAATAGGATAATTGCTCCAATGATTTGCTTTTTCAAGGTTGATGAGTTCTTTTAGTATCATTAGCTATCAAATCTATTATTCTTTTTGACTATTTTTGTACATATGGATGGTATGATATTGTGTTGCATTATGGTGTGTTCTTTAACAAAAACTTGACTTCTTCGAAGTCTTTTAAGCAAAATATCCTACAATAATTGGTTTTCCTTTTGATAACATTGAGTATGATTTCGAAAATCAAATTGTATAAAGTACGGATAATAGTATCACTAGTTGTTTGCTAGGGAAGTTATAGAGGATTTCGATGAGCAAAGACAACAATGTTGCAACTAGTGCACAATATTCATTGAATAGAATTGTGGCAAAAAAAAATTCGAGGAGTTCCTCAAGAGCCTAAATATTATTATTTTCTTTTGCAACTTTTTTTGTTTCTCAAATCACAAGTATATAAGAAAATTTTGATTGAAAAATTATAATTGAATGGATAGTCGACGCATCCATTGGATTGACTTGAACGTCCAAGAACAAAGGCAAAGTTTTTATTGGAATGAAACGAATGTTAAAAACCCACAACATAAAATTTTAAGAAGTTTGTAATTAGCATTTAAGTCATTCTTGTAATTAATATTGCTAAAGATGGTTACTTAGTGAGTTAATCCTATATTCTATAAATCCTAAACCCTAAAAATGAAATGAGAAGTTGAAATGATTGAATAAAATTTTCCTCTTATTGTCTCTCATTATGTTAACTTTTAAATATTTTAAAATAATAATTTAATAAATATTTACATATTAGATATATAAATATATAAGAATTCTATGTTATGCATGTAGATCTCTCTAAAAAAATTGACATTAATGACATATTCATGTATCATTATTTATAAAATTAAAAATATTATTTCCTATAAAAAGACCAGATCAAGCAATTTAAATTTATTTCCAAAAATATGATTCTGGCCTAAAACCTTTAATGCCTCCGTAAAATAGAACAAAAAACGGTACTTTCCTTATTCTATCAATTTCCTAATTTACCATTTTATAGCTGGCGTGAATCTCCTCGCGTTTCTCTCTCCTTCCTCTATATAAACTATAAGGTTTCAGTCACCTGCTAGTTAGCTTATCCTCTAACACAAACCGAGTTTTCTTCAATTTCACTGTCTTTGTCGTTAAGCTTTACAGCCATGGCGTTCTGTCATGGTCTTCAATCATTCTTTGATCCTCTGCAAGCTAACTCCGAAGCGATCAAACTCCGCCCTGCCTGTGACTCTTCTGATTACCCTGACTCTGTTTTCAATGGAAGCCATGGCTGGAATTCTCTCAACTTTCTTTGTAGTCCGGCCAAAGAAAGCGCTTTTCCACCTCCGGCTATCTGCACGAAGCAAACGCTAGTTAAAAGTTTCAATCTTGATATGTGTACTGAGACACTGGGATGCGAGACGGGGGCAATGTGCTCTTCTTATGATCAGTTTGAAATAGCTTCAGCGAAGAAGAAGAAGAAGAACCCGCCTCCGTTACCGACGATCGCGGTAACAAAGCAAAGAAGCGCTCCGCCGCCACTTACGACGCTAAGCGGGGAGAGGCGACTGAGCCTCGGGAGAAAGCAGGGGGGAGGGAGGCTTACGCTATTTCCTTTCAAGCCTTCAGTTCTTGAAGCCGAAAGGTCCGGCGGGCGTCTCCAGCTTCGGTTTTTCCGGCGAGAAGGGATTAATAAAACAGAGCGGGGAAGAGTAGTAGAGGAAGAAGAAAAAGACGGGGTAGAGGAGAGTGGAAGCTACGAACATGGCTGTGGAGAGAAGCACAAGCAGGCTGGGAGGTGTAAAGAGGAGGACGAAGGCGTTTTCGACCGGAACTCCGACGCCCGCTGGGTGGCCAGCTCCTGAAAGGCTTGTTCTGTTTTGGAACGTTTGGATTTTTTTCCTTTTTGAATTTTGAATTTCTGTTGTGATTTTAATTTTTTACTGTGCATTACTCAGCCTAAATTTGTAAGTATATTCAATGCATGATTAATTGAGTATATAATGAGAGAAATCATAAGAAAGATTATCTTTTTATTTGGTTGATTTTAGTACTAATATAAATATATCTATATATAGATAATAGAGGAGGGTAATAAGAAATATTTTAAATAATCAGACAATATTATAGGAATAACTATTTACTGTTATAAATTCTTACTATAAATATTCAGCATATATTGTAATATAAGTATGATAATATATAATACAATAAAGTTCTCTTATGATATTTATATATAAAATATTATTCTGAAATTACAAAAATAGATAAATAAAATATTTTTTTCTTATATATATCATATTTATGTATAATTTTTCTCCCAACACAAAATCTTTTGAATATCAATCAACCTCTTAAAAATAAATGGCATATGGCAAGCTAATTACTCCATGCCGATTTGCGATACTTACCTAATTGGTTAAAACCATTTTACTACTTGTGGATAGTATTGCCAATAAATGACTTGACTTGAATCTGATTCAAAAAATTCGAATTATGATTCACCCGATATATTTTCGAGTCAAGATTGAACTTACATGAATAACCAAAATTGACCTGATTATCAACTGGGTTCAAGTTAAGGAGGTCATTTTCAAATTCAGTGAATTGAATATTTGATTAAATATTTTGATTCGAATGATAAACGGGCCGGGTTCAATCAAATATATTATTCATGTTGGGCCAACTTTAGTTCCAAACTGAATACGATCAGCCAATTTGAATTGACACGCCAAAAATTTAGTATTTTATGGTGAACTGCATTGAATTAGTGGGCTGGGCTTTGAAGAAGCTCTCATTATAAATTTGTTAAATGGATGCATGGGTGGGCTGGGCTTCAGAGAAATTGTTCATAAGTACTCTGTGGTTCATGGTCAGAAGATACTTATTCAAGATTGAGGACAATAAATAAAATACTATTTCGTTTTATAATTAAATGCACAAATTGTTCCGAGGGCATTGCCTCTCGACTCCTATTTGTTCATCGTTGTATGCTTCCAGTCAGGTCGGGGGTCCAAGGGGGCAGCGGCCCCTGTTGGGGTTTGTCGTTCCCTAACAATAACATCTCTACACAATGTGTTTAATTATGTTGGGGCAATTGCCTAAAAACTATAGTATTTTAAAATTTTTAGGAGGGCAGTTACCTAAAAACCCTTGTAATAAAGAATAAAAAATACATTGAGGGGGACAAATTACACATAGAATCATATAATAAAGAATTTTTTTATTTTTTTTCAGAGGGGGACAAATTGCCCCCTCTAGGCTTAAGGTGAATATGCCCCTGATCATGCCCTTAACAATTGAAATAGATGGTCAAGTTTTTATTTGAGAGATGTAATTATTTGAGTTTGGGTTTGATTTAAAGCTAATACCAAGTGGGTTTTGGATGAATTTGGAAAGTATTTATTTTCTTTGATTTATTTTTTTATTTATTAAAATTTCACGTTTTAATTTGTTAATAAAAATATATATTTATGTTTTCCCCTTTTTTATGATTTTAAATTTATTTAATACCTAAAGCTCCTAACGCTCTCTTGCTCCTCGACACAAGTTAATAGACTCATTTGATCTGTCTCGATGATCCGGATGCAATAGTACAATAGGTTTTGTATGATGAGGTATTGATCAAAAGATTTATGTACGGAATGAATGTGCGCATGAATGTTAAATCAACCCACATAGTGTACAAATGATCGATGCAAAAAAGAGGTCAACATCATAGAAATGCAATAATACATAAAATTATGAAGAACAAGATCGGATATTCAATTTTAATATGGTGTTTTCATCCTTCCATCTATTATATTTCACATCTATCCATCTGCTAATCATGTCTTATCTTTAATTTATTTTTACACGTGGCTTTAAATATTCATTTAAGAGTCATCATCCTCTATCTATCATCGTAATTCAATCAGTCAGTTACATGCCATATAACTAGGACTACAGAACAGCCTTTTTATTAAAAAAAAAAGTCCGTCGGTCCACCCTCCTACACATGATATTATATTTTAAGAGTCAACCCTTATTAATTATAGTATGCACAAACAGTCTTCCTTGCTTATATACAAATACTATATTTTTTGTGTAATGTAAGTCAATATCATTTACATGAAATATAACATTTTAGAAAATGCAGAGAAATCTACAAAATTTGTATATTAAGCATTTACTTGAGAAAATCAAGGCTTCTTATTTACTCGGTGAAATTCAATAATATTATAGTTAAAATGCTCCAGAGGAACATATATATCATATATAAAATGTTACATGGTAGAAGTTTGTTAAAAATCAAGATATTATAACTTTTTGTAGATTTTGAATAAATTAAAATTTATAATATACAAAATATATCAAATCATTGAAATTAGACATAGGATAATGATAGCATATCTCAAGACTAATAAATTAAAAATTGACTCTATGACTCCAAAATTTAGGTTTTCCTCTCCTATCTCATCTATTTTTCTTGTCTAATCCAATTTCTACTATGTGGCTTCATGAAAATGAAATCAAATTCCATTTTATCATTTCTGCAATGGGAGGGGATATTTTCTAATAAAATAATACAATGAAACAAAATTAATTATATCAATTGCTCAATTTTTAGCATAAAAAACATATAAATATATCCTTTTATAGCTTTAAATATGGGGCTCTTAAAATTACAGAAAAATATTCATAAATTATCTAAGCATATCTAGAATGATCTGGTGAAATCTGTATGCAAAACAAATATCTAACAATCCCAAAAAAAAATCATTTATACCAACATGTGTCAGTTTTCTATACTGCTCATAAAATTAGGAGAAAATTATTATAATTAAAATATAATAATACATATTTTTCAACACATTTAATAAATTAGTTAGTAAGCAATATTAGTTTGCCTAGATTTCTCTTTTGAAAAAATGGTGCTAATTATCTCTTATAATTCGTAGATTACATCAATTCAATCTAATATCAATTATTCAATCAAATGTTTTGCATTATATTGCATTATGGTTGAGAGCTAACTGCGATGCCTCCACACTTCATATGAATGGCTCTTAAATAAACATATTACCTATCTAAATTTAGCTAAATAATTATATACTCGATTTGAACAATGTCAACTTACCTGATTATGGGCCCTTGATACATCAAGCTTGCAATATTATTTAAAGAGGAGTTCAATGTTACTCTTGCAAGTAAAAGTATATTTATTTATGACATTAAAAAATGTAATATTTTGTTTAATTTATTTGATTTTCTCTTATAAGGCCAACATAGGGGTGTCAATTCGGGTCAACGGGTCGGGTTCGGGTCGAATTCGGAGCTGACCCGGCACTATTCGAGTCAACCCGAACCTGACCCGTTTTTAAAAATGGGTCAGGTTTCCGGACCCGAACCCGTCCCGATTCGAGTCCGGGTCAATCCGACCCGACATGAATGACCCGAAGTTGACCTAAATTGCTAGTTTTTTGGGTCAAAATTGGGTCAAAATGGGTCAATATCGGGTTACCGGGTCAAATAGGAGTTTTCGTGTCAATTTCGGGTCATTTTCGGGTTACTGAGTCAGCTCGAACCCGAACCGATTTTTAAAACGGGTTGATTTGTTGAACCCGAACCCGACCCATTTCTAGTCCGAGTTGACCCTAAACCGAATTTTTTTCGGGTCGGGTTCAGATTATGTTTCGGGTCGTGTCAAAAATTGACACCCCTAGGCCAACATATATCTGAGTATCACATCATATAGAAGATGGCTTGGTCGACTTCAATGAGCCCCTTCCATCATCAATGGATGATAATATTTATAATATCAGTCAAATATTATTTTTTCATCATTAATTGAAAACAATAATTTCTCTTTAAATAATATCATTTTCTCACTAAAGTGAAATAATTTCTCTCCGGTGAACCTAGAATGAAGGAGAAATAATATAAAAATACATTAAGCCATGAACCTTCAGATGGATTGAAATTTTAAATTTTATCCTAATTATACTTCTTTCTCGTATGCATTGTTGGGGATAGTTTTCTTACAACTTTCTAAAGCAGTTTTTTAGTATAAAAAATTTTAGTTCAAGAAAATTTTAACTATAATTTTAACTATTTTAAAAAATATAAAGAAAGCTGACCCAAATGAAACTTTAATTAATTTATACTTAAGCAACTTTTTAAAATGTCACCAGTTTTAAATGAATTTTTAAACTTATGATATTATTTTTTTTATTTATGAATCGAATTTTAAAGTTGGCCATTATTATTAATATTATCATATTAATTATAAATTTTTTTTTTACAATATTTAAGTTTATTTTGATGTAATTTACATTGACATATTCTGACAATTTTTTTTTTTTTGCAATACTCAATATTTTAACTAGTTGTCAACTGAATTGAGTTTTATACTTTTTATAAAGGATAAAATAGGACGATTTTTTATATAAATATATATCAAAAGACAGTTAATTTTTGTTTATGATTAATATTTAATTTTATCTTATGCAGAATTAATTAATATCTACAATATTGAATAATCTTTAGGTCCGAAAATCATGAAAATTTATTCCCGTGAAGTGTCCGGATGTGTTCAGCTGTCAATTCAAATATATCACATCATATAATACACAATATATTGGATGACATACCTCGTCCGAATTAACTTCCAAATAGGCTTAGACTCCACGTAGAAAAGTCTCTCAAAAATCACGCCGGGGGGGATGTCATGCATTAATGGGTACTCATACCCACACCCACCCATGTACCCAATGGGTATGGGTGGGTATGGGTAGGCCCATGATCTTGTTGGTGGATATGGGTGTGTACTCAACATCGGGGATAAATCAATTTACATTGCTAATCACTATATATCTTATATTACTATAATTCTGACTATGTAGTGTGCATCACTTAATCAAGCTGTGATTACTACAAATTATGATATGCGGCTTGAAAGTGTGCAATCAAAACAAAGGGCAAGAAGCCTTAAGACCATTAGTTTGTAGTAGACTGCGTTCAAAAAACATGAAAAGTGGGTGAGTATAGGTGGGTTAATTATGAAAAACATGTTGCATTAATGAGTACTCATACCCACACCCACCCATGTACCCAATGTGGGTGAGTATAGGTGGGTACGACATCTTGAAAGTCATCATTGATGGACGTGGGTGGGTGAAGCTCATCCAACTAAAATATGGATACCCAATGGATACCCAACCAGAACTCCATATAGCCATATAGGACTTTGGTCAAAAGGCATGCCTTTTTCCATCGTAAATAGTATGCCATTTTCATATTTTGGATTTCTAGATTGCGAAAAAAGGAGTTCATTACTTCATTTAGCTTCCACAGCGATAAAGGTACATTATTTTTTCTTTGTTGTGGGTCCCGGAATTTGGTTTTTCTTTCTTTTTTTTTTCCAGTCAAATGATGGGAATTCTGTTGCCACCTTAAAAACCACAACGACTCGCCCAGTCAAATAAAGACGCTTCACGGAATTTTTTTTATTGTTTGGCAGAATGAGAATCATATGCAGGCATGCAGTCCACAATTCCAATCCGTCAACTAGGAGGCTGCTGCATCTCTAGTCCTTAAAAAAAGTGAACAGATGATTTGTCCCATCTTATTTAGATGTGTCAAATAGAGGAAAATTATTAGGTTCAGATACGAAACATAGAGATAGATCTAGACCTCAATAAAATATTGATATGTGGAATGTACACATGTCCGTAAAATTTTAAGTCAAACACGTCAAAAGTATAAGTAAAGCACAATTAAAGTACAGTCTGTGTGTCAATTTTGATCTGCTCAGTTCGAATTCAATCTTTTTGATAAACGGATAAAAAAGACCAACAAATCTTACATGCTAACCGTCCGAATTACTTGAACAAGACCCACTAACATATTTTAGTTTTTAAAAAATAATTACAATTTATTAACTATAGAGTTTAGAATTTTCATAAAAAATAATTAGATCATATCTACAAGTAAAAAAAAAAAAATTAAAACCGGTCATTTTCTATCAAAAGCGAGTTAGCGTGTCAACCAGAATTCGATCAATTTAATAGATGAATTTGTTTCTTAAATTGATTAATCCAAGCCCATATTTGCTAGAAGATTTGAGTTTGGATTAGGTTGATGAGACGAGAGATTTATTTATATTCCTTTCTCTAAATCTCAAGCTCTATTTAATATGAAATTAATCATAATTATCTGCTTTAACTCATCACAAATCACACTATTACATAATAGAAAAACATTAGCTATAGTCTTAGGTTTCATTTCAGTTAGGATAAATTTTTTAACTATTTTTTAAAATAATTTTTTAGATACAACTAATCTTAAGAGCTTAAACTTTCAACTAAAAAATCTTGAATTCGAATCTTATATATATTTGAATATGTTTATGTGGCTTAAATGTCCCAAAAAATAATATTTTTTTAGTAAAATATTTTTCAAGCTAAATATTTATGTATTAAAAACCCACCCAATCCACTTAAGCTACTATAGCACTTGTAACATACAAATCATAAATAAAAGGCACATCGAACCACCCTCCGGCCAACAAGCTCCAATCATGGCCCTTCCACACCCCAAGCTTCTTCCCCCGGTCTTCTTCCCTCTCCGAAACCGCCCAACACAACCTTCCCCCATCCTCCCCCTCCCCGGAAACCCTACACTCCCCCACCTAAAACACGAATCTTTCTCTCAACTCCAAGCATCAGCCAAAGATGAGTCCCTCTCCACCCTCATCACTGAGCTGGAGCAACAAGGAGATCATAGTAGCCAAACCGCAGAAGACGATCTCCTACCACCGAACCGCCAGCCGGAACACCGCCTCTCAGAGCGGTGGCGCGAGATCCACGGGCTTGGCGACTGGGCAGGGCTGCTCGACCCGATGGACCCGTTGCTCCGCTCCGAGCTGATCCGCTACGGCGAGCTGGCCCAAGCCTGCTACGACGCTTTCGATTACGATCGTTTCTCGCGCCACTGCGGAAGCTGCAAATACAACCACCGACACTTCTTCACTAACTTGGGGATGCCCGATGCGGGCTACGAGATCACCCGCTACATCTACGCTACTTCCAGCTTCAAAATCCCGAATTTCTTCGCGAGTTCTCGCCGGCCTCGGACGTGGAGCGACAGGGCTAACTGGATCGGCTATGTGGCGGTGTCGAGTGATGAGGGCAGCGCCCGGCTCGGCCGCCGCGACATTGTTGTGGCATGGCGAGGGACGGTGACGAGGCTTGAGTGGATTGCCGACCTTATGGACTATCTCCGGCCGGTGTCGGCGGCGGGAATCCCGTGCAGGGATCCGGGGGTGAAGGTGGGTTAAATGATTTTTGTTTGTTTGTTTGTTTATGATGCGAATCATGACTTGGAATATTGAAATTGTTTTAATTGCTTGATGGAAATGAAAAGAATATAAAAGGAAATTGTAGAATTTACTTTTAACTTACTGTAATATAAAAAAACAAACTTCACTTTCTAAATCCATGATTTTTCTTAACCAGGTCGAATCCGGTTTCCTGGAGCTCTACACAGGCAAAGACCCCGGCTGCCTCTTCTGCAAATTCTCGGCGCGAGAGCAGGTGCTCGCCGAAGTTCGGAAGCAGGTGGAACTATACAAAAGCTCAGGAGAGGAAGTGAGCGTGACGATGACTGGACACAGCCTGGGGAGCGCGCTGGCTATGTTAAGCGCGTACGACGTAGCGGAGACGGGGGTTAGCGGTGGTTCGCCGGTGTGCGTGTTCTCGTTCTCGGGTCCGCGCGTGGGGAACGGGAGGTGGAAGGAGAGGTTCGAGGAGGGAGTGAAAGCTCTGCGAGTGGTGAACGTGCATGATAGCGTGCCGAAAGTGCCGGGGATTTTTTTCAACGAAAGGGTTCCGGAGGCGGTGAGGAGGATGGCGGAGAGCTTGCCGTGGAGTTACAGTCATGTTGGGGTGGAGCTAGCGTTGGATCACAAGCTCTCGCCGTTTTTGAAGGACACGGGGGATCCGTCTTGCTATCACAACCTCGAAGCACATCTGCATCTGCTGGATGGGTACGTTTTATATTTTCTATGCCTGAATTATTCGTCTCGTACTGGTGTAATAACTTAGAACGTTTAACTGGGAAGCTGATATGTCCATGATTCGGGATTTTTTGTTTTGTTACGAGGAAAGTACTGTTCTTAGGTCAGTGAAAATCACGGTCGACTTAGCATGCAAATCACGCCAATTTACACGAGCCAACACTTAAGGCTTTCACTGCTTGTTAAGAGATTCGAATCAAGGACCTAGGCTTTGCCCAGCCGGCTCTTCACCACCCGGACAAGCAGTAGTGGGTGATTCGGGATTATTTAGAATTGATACGTACCAAAAATTGCTTCACGAATCTTAAAATATATTTAAGTTGGAAATTTCTAAAATCAAATTCGGGATCATATGAACTCCAATTCCAGCAAACTTATTGTCGAACAAAACGTCTCAGAAAGACGAACCCAACAATGCTAAATTCGACTCAATTCGAGCCCAAATGGGTCCAAATCGAAAACTCAAAGCTTATTTGGGAGATTCAAAGCATTAATTGGATGACAAAATAAAATCCAAATATGACATGCTTATATCCAAATCGAGCAACTCGGTGAGACGAATCCAACGATTCTAAGATCGCTGAATTCCAACATCGTTAAGACACTTAAACAGTTAAAAAACTCTCTATGATCAGGGGAATCATTAATATGAGCCAACAGATGGAGCACTACGAATCTGCCAGGGATCTTTTTTATATTTACAGGGTGTGCCACTCATGAAAATTTATAAATATACCCCTCACTCTCTACATGAAGGGGAATCTTTGACTAAAGATTGGACAGAGCTCTAAGGCTTCAAGAGCTCCAGCACCATCGCCTATAAACCCACGTCAGCTATCGTCGGACCACCGCTAGGGCATCTTTCACTGCCGAACTTCCGCCCGGCCACCGCCGAATTTCGGCTCGACTGTCATCAGACCACTGCCCGACCGTCAATCGTTGCCGGACTTCCGCCCGACCGTCGTCGGACCACCATTCGGCCGTCAACCACCGGGGACTTCCGCCCGACCGCCGACCATCGTCGGACTTCAGCCAACCTTCATCGGACCACCAGCCAACCAAAGGATTTCAGCCAGACTATCATCAGACCGCCGATGGAATTCGACCTGACCGTTGTCGGACCACCACTCGGTGGCCGACCGTCGTCAGACTTCAGCCTGACCATCGTCGGACCACCACCCAGCCTTCGACTTTCGTCTGACAACCACTCGGCCGTCAACCACCATCAGACTTCTACCGGCCGTCGACCGCCACCACACTTTTCCCCCGACCGCTGACCGCCATTGGACCTCCTCTCGCGACCAGCCATTTATTGTCCTCCACTAGGCTACCAAAGTACGGTCCCTCCGTCCATTGTTAATAGACAATGATCTTTTCGATCTCTGTCTTCCGCCGACTAGTGCTCTTCCGACCTCGTTGCCTACCAACTACGGTCTTCCGACCTTCGTCGCCAGATAATTGTATTTTCGACCTCTATTGCCCGCCGACTACTGTCCTTCCGACCTTCATCACTCATCGACTATGGTCCTTCCGACCTTCGTCACCCGCTGACATTTATACTTCCGACCTCAGTCGCCATACAACAATCTTTCCGAACTTCTTTGCCCGTTGCCTAAGGTCCTTTCGATTTTCATCGCCTGCCCACTATGGTCCTTCAGACCTCATTCGAGAGACAACAGTCTTTACGACCTCTGTCACCTGTTGCCTACAATCCTTACAACCTTCGTCGTCCAACGAATACAATACTTCCGACCTCCGTCGCCAGAGAATGGTCTTTCTGACCTCCTTCGCCCGCTAACTACAGTCCTTGTGACCTTCGTAGCACGCCGATTGCGGTCCTTCTAACCTCCGTCGCTAGACAATTAACGATCGTTCCGACGTTCATCTCTAGATATTGGTCTTTTCAACCTCTGTCGCCTACCGACTACAATCTTTCCAACCTTCACCGCCCGTCGATTACTGTCCTTTCGACCTTCGTCGCCAGATAATGGTTTTTTCCGACCTTCGTCGCCTGCCGACTATAGTCCTTACGACATTCGTCACTCGTCGACTGCGATCCTTCTAACCTCCATCGCTATACAATGGTCTTTCCGACCTTCATCGTCCGTCAACTACAGTCCTTCCGACCTTCGTCACCCATTGGCTATGATCCTTCAGACCTCCGTCGTTAGACAATGATCTTTTCAACCTCCATTACCCATCGACTATGGTCCTTCCAACTTTGTCGCTCGCTGACTATGGTCCTTTTGACCTTCATTGCATGCCGGTTATGATCCTTGCAACCCCCGTAACTAGACAATGATCTTCCCGACTTTCGTCGCCCGCCGACTATGGTCCTTCAGGCCTTCGTCGCCTGCCAACTATGATACCGCCGACCAAACAATCATATCATTGTTTGTTCTTCCAATTTCCACCATGTAATGCACTCTATATGAGGAATAAATGCTACACCCTCTCCTTTATCGGATTGCGTGTCGGATCTTTGTACAATGTTAAGACATTAAACATTATATTGCTCTATCGCCGCGAATATTCCAAGATGCAACAAGAATTTCAGAAAGCGTGGTTTCCCTATTTCTGAAAGGAAAAGCTTTTCTGTGGCTAGAGGAGCGGAACAGGGTCAATAAAATTGATTTGTGAATAGCATAAATTTTTTATAGGAAGTAAAAAAAAATGGAGTAATTATATTTATTGAAGACGGATAAAATAGTTAAAATACTTATTCTTCTAAGAAAAAAATTCAAAGTCAGCAATAGCCTTCTAGAAGCAAACCCAACCTTTTTTTAGGGTGGATAAACTCAATATATAAAAAAGTAAATACCAATATAAATATATATATATATATATTAGCAAAAAATCTAAGCAAAGTCTTGTATTTTAGTATAATTTTTTAAATGAAAAAGAAAATTACAAACTTTACATAATACTTTGGAATTTTTGATAATATTGTATAATAACTTCATTCGAAAGAGAATCAAATATTTCATTCTCAATAAGAATGAAAAATATATCGATCAGGATTTTTGGGTCGGATTGCCGGGTTAAAATAAGTTTTCGGGTCAAAACGTGTAAATTTCGGGTCAAAGGGTCAACCCGAACCCGAAATGGGTCAAATTGTTGGGTTTTCGGGTTCGGGTTGACCTAACCCGGAATTTTTGGGTCATATTCGAATCGGGTTTTCGGGTCGTCGGGTCGTGTCAAATATTGACACCCATGGAAAACATGCAGAGGTGGGTCATATTAGGGAAAACATTTGTTTTTGAGAGGGTAGAATTCCAAAACTACCCCTCTTCTACATTAATTTTTATCGAGGACCCTGAATTGAGTGGGGATCCTCCCATGTTGCCCATCGTAAGCTCTTCTTGGTTCCACCCCCTGGCTAAAGAGATAGGCTGCAGCAAGCTGTGTTAGAGGAACAGAAATCCTATAAGAAAATTCTTACAGAAAATCATTTGAAATCACTCATTATCATTTATTTTATACAAAAAGTTATATTTTTCTGAATATATACAGAAATATTTATGCTTTATTCTGATCTTATTGAGTGGTAGAATATAATCAGTATTAGAAGGAGCATTTATTATTTTAGATTTGTTAGAAGATCTCACAGATATTTTAACCTACACTATAGAGGAGATGCGAGACTGAAAACTTTCTTAAAAGGATTGGTTATTACAAAAATAAATTTGCTTTCTCCATATATAACTAGAGGAGACTGGAATAAAAGGCTTGAACCAATTCGATTATCCTTCCCCATCTACTACCTACTCATATTTTTTTTTAACAAAACGTCTCAGAAAGACCAACCCAACGATGCTAAATTCGACTCAAATCGAAGACTCAAAGCTTATTTGGGAGATTCAAAGCATTAATTGGATGACAAAATAATATTCAAATATGACAGGCTTATATCCAAATCGAGCAGCTCGGTGAGACGAATCCAACGATTCTAAGATCATTGAATTCCAACATTGTTAAGACACTTAAACAGTTAAAAAACTCTATATGATCAGGGGAAATAATATGAGCCAACAGATGGAGCACTCCGAACCTGCCCTGGATCTTCTTTATATTTACAGGGTGTGCCACTCATGAAAATTTATAAATATACCCCCACTCTCTACATGAAGGGGAATCTTTGACTAAAGATTGGACAGAGCTCTAAGGCTTCAAGAGCTCAAGCACCATCGCCTATAAACCCACGTCAGCTATCGTCGGACCACCGCTAGGCCATCTTTCACAGTCGAACTTCCGCCCGGCCACCGCCGAATTTCAGCTTGACTGTCATCAGACCACCACTCGACCGTCAACCGATGCCGGACTTCCGCTCGACCGTCATTGGACCATTGTCCGGCCGTCAACCAACAGGGACTTCGGCCCGACCGCCGACCATCTTCGGACTTCAGCCAACCTTCATTGGACCACATACCAACCACAGGATTTCAACCAAACTATCATCGGACCACCGATGGAGTTCGACCCGACCGTTGTCGGACCACCACCCGGTGGCCAACCGTCGCCGGACTTCAGCATGACCATCGTCGGACCACCACCCAGCCTTCGACTTCCGTCTGACAACCACTCTGTCGTCAACCACCAACAGACTTCTACCGGCCATCGACCACCACCACACTTTCCCCCGACTGCTGATCGCCATTGGACCTCCTCTCGCGACCAACTATTGTTGGTCCTCCACTAGGCTACCAAGTGCGGTCCCTCCGACCATTGTTAATAGACAATGATCTTTCCGACCTCTGTTGTCCGCCAACTACTGTCTTTCCAACCTCATTGCCCACCAACTACGGTCTTCCGACCTCCGTTGTCAGACAATTGTATTTTCGACCTCTGTCGCCCGCCGATTACGGTCCTTCCGACCTTCGTCACTCGACAACTATGGTCCTTCTGACCTTCGTCGCCCACTGACATTTATACTTCCGACCTCAGTCGCCATACAACAATCTTTCCGACCTTCTTTGCCCGTTGCCTACGGTCCTTTCGATTTTCATCGCCTGGCCACTATGGTCCTTTAGACCTCATTCACAAGACAACAGTATTTACGACCTCTATCACTCGTTGCCTACAATCCTTACAACCTTCATCACCCAACGAATACAATCCTTCCGACCTCCATCGCCAGAGAATAGTCTTTCTGACCTCCTTCGCCCGCTAACTACGGTCCTTGTGACCTTCGTAGCTCGTCGACTGTGGTCTTTCTAACCTCCGTCGCTGGACAATTAATGATCGTTCTGACGTTCATCTCTAGATATTGGTCTTTTCGACCTCTGTCGCCTACCGACTACAATCTTTCCAACCTTCATCGCCCGCCGATTACGGTCCTTTTGACCTTCGTCGCCAGACAATGATTTTTTCGACCTCCGTCGCCTTCTGTTTATAGTCCTTAAGACCTTTGTCACTCATCAACTGCGATCCTTCTGACCTCCGTCGCTAGACAATGGTCTTTCCAACCTTCGTCGCTCGTCAACTACAGTCCTTCCGACCTTCGTCACCCACTGGCTACGGTCCTTCAGAACTCCGTCATCAGACAATGGTCTTTTCGACCTCCGTTGCCCGTCGACTATGGTCCTTCCAACTTTTTCGCTCGCTGACTATGGTCCTTCCGACCTTCATTGCATGCCGACTATGGTCCTTGCAACCCCCGTAACCAGACAATAATCTTCCCGACTTTTGTTGCCCGCCGACTACGGTCCTTCAGGCCTTCGTCGCCTGCCAACTATGATACCGTGGACCAAACAATCATATAAATGTTTGTTCTTCCAAGTTCCACCATGTAATGCACTCTATATGATGAATAAATGCTACACCCTCTCTTTTATCGGATTGCGTGTCGGATCTTCGTACAATGTTAAGACATTAAAAATTATATTTCTCTATCGCCGCGAATATTCCAAGATGCAACAAGAATTTCAGAAAGCGTGGTTTCCCTAATTCTGAAAGGAAAAGCTTTTTGTGGCTAGAGGAGCGAAACAGGGTCGATAAAATTGATTTGTGAATAGCATAAATTTTCTTATGGGAAGTAAAAAAAATGGAGCAATTATATTTATTGAAGACGGATAAAATAGTTAAAATGCTTATTCTTCTAACAAAAAAATTCAAAGTCAACAATTGCCTTCTAGAAGCAAACCCAACCTTTTTTTTAGGGGGGACAAACTCAATATATAAAAAGTAAATACCAAAAATTATATATATTAGCAAAAAATCTAAGCAAAGTCTTGTATTTTAGTATAATTTATGAAATAAAAAAAATTACAAACTTTACATTCTACTTTGTAATTTCTGATAATATTGTATAATAACTTCATTCGGAAAAGAATCAAATATTTCCTTCTCAATAAGAATGAAAAATATATCGATCAGGATTTTCTGGTCGGGTTGTTGGGTCAAAATGGGTTTTTGGATCAAAACGTGTCAATTTCGGGTCAAAGGGTCAACCCGAACCCGAAATGGGTCAAATTGTTGGGTTTTCGGGTTCGGGTTGACCTAACCCGGAATTTTTGGGTCATATTCGAATCGGGTTTTCGGGTCGTCGGGTCGTGTCAAATATTGACACCCATGGAAAACATGCAGAGGTGGGTCATATTAGGGAAAACATTTGTTTTTGAGGGGATAGAATTCCAAAACTACCCCTCTTCTACATTAATTTTTTTCGAGGACCATGAATTGAGTGGGGATCCTCCCATGTTGCCCATCGTAAGCTCTTCTTGGTTCCACCCCCTGCCTAAAGAGATAGGCTGCAGCAAGCTGTGTTAGAGGAACAGAAATCCTATAAGAAAATTCTTACAGAAAATCATTTGAAATCACTCATTATCATTTATTTTATACAAAAAGTTATATTTTTCTGAATATATACAGAAATATTTATGCTTTATTCTGATCTTATTGAGTGGTAGAATATAATCAGTAATAGAAGGAGCATTTATTATTTTAGATTTGTTAGAAGATCTCACAGATATTTTAACCTACACTATAGAGGAGATGCGAGACTGAAAACTTTCTTAAAAGGATTGGTTATTACAAAAATAAATTTGCTTTCTCCATATATAACTAGAGGAGACTGGAATAAAAGGCTTGAACCAATTCGATTATCCTTCCCCATCTACTACCTACTCATATTTTTTTTGTATGTGAAAATATGCATTTGTTCTGATGAGAGTTATAGGAGATCTATTTGCCTATTCTAAAAATTTATAATTTTCCTCTAAAGGTAGGTGCCGCCGCAACGCTAAGCTCTTTGTATTTTGATCAAATTAATTCTAAGCGCTGGGGGTGGCACTGCGGCGTAGTGGTCTCTCAAAGGAGCGTTGTGACGTGCAAGGTTGGGTGTCGCGATGCCAGACATGAATTTTAATTTAAATATCATTTTCCTCTAAAATGAAAATCATTTCATCACTTAGAGGCAGCCGGCTAGTGAGATAAAGTAGGAATTCTGAAGAGAAAAGGTCAATTTTGGGCGACTTTGGTTCTTTTTTTGCTGGCAACCCAATTTTGAAACTTGTATAGTACGAGGTAGGTTGCATTTTGCCTCTATCAATTTTAAAAAATAAAATAAAAATTGAATTTTTTTTATTTAATTTTTATTTATGCAGTCTAAAAATAAGGATAACTTTACACTTGTAAAATTTTGACCGCGTAATTTTCTATATGTTATAGAGACAAGGATTTTGGATATTTAGATAATTTTTTGAAAATTTACACCGAGGGTTTAGAAACTGTGCTTTTTAATTGTCTAAAAAATAACTCTAATCCTAGAAAATAATATTATAGTACTATTAAAGATTTAAAATAATCTATGAACATTCTCTGATAATTTGGTTATGTTCTGAATAGTGCATTTTGCTCAGTACTTAATCCCACTGCCAAAAGCATTCAATTAAATTTCAAAATAAGTTTATTAAATTTTTTTTATTGCAATGTAATACATTATATATTTATCTACTTCAAATGTGTGATTTTGAGAAAATTTGGTGTACATGAGGGAAGTTCTATTCTTGTGCTAAAAATATATGAAGTTATATTCTAGTGATATATGCACATTCTTTTATGTTGCTGGGCATTGGAAGTCATAAGGGCATATTTTCTGATATATAAAAATGGTAGTCATAAGGATTATAATTCTTTGAATTCTATTCCGATGAGAGGTATAATAAGGGCTTGATGGAAATTTGCTATTTTCTTCTTTTATATATAAAATACTTGTTTAATTACTTTTCTGCATTGTTTATGTTTCTGAGAGCTACAATCCCTACTTTATTCGTTATAGTGATGATTATGAACTACTTTAAAACTCATGTGAATGCTTAATAAATGAATTATTTAAAAATTTAGATCAATAAGTGTGACATGCTGTGCTATGTTGGCTCAAGTTTATCTGCATTCTATTTCAAGGCCTAGAAAAGGAAAATAGTTCATTAAGTAGTTGAGTCAGGATTTGATATAGCTGAGTCTATATAGGTTTTTATTTTTTTATTTTTGTATTGTCATGTCTAGCTATTTAAATTACTCTATTATATAGTTAAGTTGGTAGTCATGCATTGTGATATATATATATATATATATATAGAGAGAGAAATAAAAAGAAATTTTGTATATGAGTTTCTTTTTATATATTTGTAGTTATTAACATATCTTTGGTATGTTGTTTATTTCCTAAAGTTAATCAAAAGAAGAAAATCCAAAAAGATTTCCAAAACTATGATTTTGGGTTAGCCTACCGCAAGTTAACACGATAGGACTTATTATGTGTGTGGGTCCTATCGAGAGTTGTGACAGTCTATTTTTGATATTATAGCAACTGTTTCTGAGAAACTAACTGTAAAATAGAGCTATATAATTCTAGAGACAGTCACTCGTTTATTTATAAGCGTTACTTCAATTTATTGATCTTGCCTTTCATATTATTGCCTATTCTTTTTGTTTGTTACTTTGTGGATGGGGGATTGTATCATAGTCAGTAAGGTATGCTTCAATTACATAGAGATATCTGATATGAAGTGGAGGTCTAGTCTGATTCAATTGCCTATATCTAAATTTGATGTCATCTTAGGTATAGATTGGTTGAGCTAGGGTCATCATAGGTATAGATTGGTTGATCTAGTATAAAGCTCAGATTAATTGTATGAATAAGTGATTCACTGTATCTTGGTAGTGATAATTATTTCTTGTATGGAGTTAAAAGGTGTTTTATCATGTTTAAATTCTACTGTGAAAATAGATAAGTTGTGGAAAAAATATTGTAAGGTATTTCTAGCATTTGTTCGGGACATTAGTATAGAGTTTGGATTTCTTTTTGATGTCTCAATAGTACGGGAGTTTTTGGATATCTTTCCTGAGGAATTAGTGAGTCTGCCTACAAACAAAGACACTGAGTTATGTATTGATGTATTTCTCGGTACGACTCCAATATCTAAGGACCTATCTAAGATGATACCAAAAGATCTTCAAAAATTGAAAGTATAGCTACAAGTGTTAGTTGATAGAGGATTTATTTGTCCTAGCATTCTCTGTGAGGAGCAAATATTTTGTTTATGAAAAAGAAGGATGATACGATATATATGTGTATCGATTATAGGGAATTAAATAAAATCTTAATTAAGAATAATTACCCTCTATCTAAGATAGATGATTTGTTCGATCAACTCATGCGAACCTTTATAATTTTTAAGATTGATCTAAGGTTTGAATATTATCAGGTGAAGGTGAGAGAAGTAGATGTAGCAAAGACTATTTTCAGCTCCAGATATTTACATTATGAGTTCTTACTCATGTCTTTTGGGGTAATTAATGCTCCAATAATTTCCATAGATATGATGAACAAGATATTCATGAAGTATCTAGACGATCAGTTCATAATCATATTTGTAGATGATATTTTTGTTTATTCTGCTTCTCAGGAAGAGCATTTGACTCATTTGAGGATTATTTTAGAGACATTGAGGCAACTTCAACTGTATGTTAAGTTCTTCAAGTGTGAATTCTGAATGAGGAGTTATTCTTTTCCGAGGCATGTGGTGAACAACACTGGTATTTTTGCTGAACCCCATAAGGTTCAGGATGTTGCTGGTTAGCCAATACTTACTATTGTACTTGAGGTAAGTAGCTTTTTAGACATGACCAACTGCTACTGGAAGTTTGTGAAGGGATTCTCTCAAATTTTTGTGCCTCTAATGATAATCACTCATAAACCAGTGGCTTTTATCTAGATGTCTGACTATGAGAAAAGTTTTAAGTGATAGAAGGACTATCTCAAATATGCTCCAGTTTTGACTATTCCATCTAGTATGAAAGAATTCAGATATTCAATGATGCTTCGTTGAAAAAACTGGGATGTGTTCTAATGCTTCATAAAAAAAATTTATAACTTATGCTTCTAAGCAGTAGAAGCCATATGAGAGAAATTATCTGACACTTAATTTGGAACTTGTTATCATTACATTTGCTTTGAAGATATAAAGATACTATATGTTTGGAATTGGTTGTGAGATTTTCATTGATCATTAGAGTTTAAAGTATACATTTGCTCAGAAGAATATGAATTCAAGGCAAATGAGATGACTTGAGCTAATTAAATATTATCATTTGACTATTCAGTATCAACCTGTTAAGGTGATTGTCTTAGAAGATGCTTTGAGTAGGAAACCTTCTGGGATATCAAGCATGTTTCTTGCTTTTAATGATTTTCTAATACGAGATATGAAATGTTAAAGTTAGAGGTGATTTCTCCAGTGGAATCCACAAGATTATGTTATTTCGTATTCAATTATCATTCAACTACCTCTTCAAGGAAGGATTTAGGAAGCCTCAAAGTCATATACAAAATATCTAAATTTTATTTACCAAATCAAGTCTAGAAAGAAATATAAACTGTAAATATCTAGTTTTGGTGTTATTTTTTACAAGAACAAATTATGAGTTCTTAGTTTTGGTGATCTGCGATCAATTATTTTACACGAAGCTCATTATTCAGAATATATTATTCATCTATGAAGCAACAAAATATTTAGTAAGTTAAAAGGTATGTTCGGGTGGCCTAAATTTAAAAAAAAAAAGATGTGATATATTTTGTTGTTAAGTATAAGTTGTCCTATTAATTAGTGAAGGCAAAACATCATCAACTTAAAGATTTTATGCAACCATTATATATCTATTCCAAAGTTGAAATGGGAAGAAGTTACAATGGAGTTTGTTATGGTATTTCCCACATCGAAATAGGGGCATGATGTCATCTAGGTTGTGGTAGACCATATAACAAAGTTTGCACATTTTACTCTAATCCCACTTTCTAATTTGGTGGATAGATTGACACAAGTATATATGTGAGAAATTATTCAATAGCATGGATACCAAAATGATTATTTATGATAGAAATGGTAGGTTTACCTTTAGGCTATGTAGAGATATTCAGCAAAGCTTGGGCACTAAACTGTATTTTAGTATGGTTTTTTATCCATAGACTGACATATAGTCCAAGAAGACTGTTTAGGTACTGAAAGACCTTCTAAAGTTAAGTGTTCTGGATTTTAGTTATAGCTAGAGATTTTATTTCTTTGATTAAATTTGCCTATAATAATAGCTTTTAGTCAAGTATATGCATGGCTCCATACGAAGCTCTGTATGGTAGGAAAAACATAACCCCACCATCTTAGACAGAGGTGGGTGAAAGAAGATTAATTGGGCTAGCTTTAATTGACGATGCTATTGAAAATATTCATCTAATTAGGGATATATTAAAAGTTGTACAAGACAGATAAAAATAATTTTATAATACTAAGCATCAGGCTATGGAATTCCAGGTTGGAGGTTTCATATATGTAAAAATTAGGCTAATAAATGACATCAGCAAGATTGAGAAAAAAAATGAAAAGATGAGTCCAAGAAGCATTGGACAATTTCAAGTAATGAAAAGGATTGAAAAATCCGCCTATAGGTTATAGTTGTCCAATCATATGTTTGACATTCATAATGTATTTCATGTTTGTCTTATGAGGAAATGGGAATCCGATTTTGAAAATCGAATATCTACAGAAAAAGTTGAGATACATCCGAATCTTAAGTTATAGAGAGAAACGAAAGAGGATTCTAACTTACAATGTTAGAAGTCTAAGAAATAAACAGATTTTGATGATTAAGGTTCAATGAAAGAACATATTGAAAAAATAGGCTACTTGGGAAAAAGAATTTCAAATAAATTAGCTATATCCTAAGCTGCTTTAATGATCTGTGTTTTGAAATGTCGAGGATGACATTTGTTTTGAAGATGGGAGAATTGTAATGCCTCCAAAATCAGTATACATTTCTAGTTGTTCTCACCTGATCTCATCTAAGATAATCCACAATTTTTGCATTCAATCCTTCTACATGTGCTTGAAATGTTTTGTATGCACGTGAAAGTCTACATGTGTTCTAATATCGGTCCCTAGGGATTTGTTTGTATGTTATGAAAATCTGAAGTTTTCCCCTCAGGCATCATGGTGTTGGGATAAGCGGTGCCATGACACTGAGCTCTATGTGTTTTGATTAAACTAATTCTAGGTTATGGCATTAGGGGTGGCACTACGGTACAATGCTCTCCTAAAGGGATGCTGAGGCGCACAAGGTCAGGCACTGCAGCATTAGACACCGCAGCATTAGACATGAATTTTTAATTTAAGTATCCTATTTTACTAAAATGAAAACCATTTCGTACCCCTTAGAGGCAACTGGCTACTAAGAGAGAGAGGAAGGATTCTAGAGAGAGAGAGAAGTTCAATTTTGGGAGACTTTCCATTATCTGTTGATGGTCTAATTCTGAAAGTTGTCTAGTTCAAGGTATGTTACGTTTTACCTATCTCAATTTTTAAAAATAAGATCTTTTAAATTTTTTCTTATTTAATTTATATTTCTATAGTCTAAAATGAAGATAATTTTACACCTGCAAAATTTTTCCAATGTAACTTTCTATATTATAGAGATAATGACTTTGGACGTTTAGATTTTTTTTTATACCAAGGGTATCTGAAAAATAACTCTTACTAAAAAAAATAATATTGTGGTTCAATTAAAGCTTCAAAATAATGCTCTAGACAATATTTGGTAATTTGGTTATGTTTTGAAATAGTGCATTTTTGCTTAGTAGTATATCTGCTGCCTATCATTAAAGCATTCAACTATATTCAGAAATGAGTTTATTTATATTTTTTTACTACAATGTAATGAATTAGATATTTATCTGCTTAAAAGATATGATTCTAAGAAAATATAATGTATGGGGGAAGTTATGTTCTAGTTTTAAAGGCACATGAAGTTCTGTTACGGTACTATATACACATCCTATTCTAATGTTGAATGATGATTCTAGTGTTATATGCATATTCTATTCTTGTGCTAGGCATTATGAGTTATAAGGGTCTTTTTTTTTTATATGCCACATTGGATTCATTAGGGCCAGAATTCTTTGTATTCTATTCTAATGGGAGATACAAGGGTATGAGGGAAATATATTATTTTTACTCTAATATATGAAATAATTATTTATTTACCTTCATGCATTGTTATTTAAGTTTATGATAATTGCAAGCACTATTATGTTCCATACAATGATGGTTACGAACTGCTTTAAAACTCATTTCAATGCTTAATAAATAAATTATTTGGAAATTGTGTGTGTGTGTTGACTATTTCTAAATTTAACTTTTTTACATCTCAAAAATTAATGTAGCTTCAGTGGTAATCATCTAATTTACTATTCCTAAAGATTTCCACTCAAAGTATATGCAACAACATTAGCCTTTCTTGGTTGATACTAAATACTGAGATCATAATCTTTAATTAACTCCAACCATCTTTTTTCCCTCAAGTTCAACTCCTTCTAATATAAAAATATATTTTATACTTTGATGATCTTTATATATTTTACATCTTACTGTTTAAAGAAAGTGCCTCCAAATTTAAGTGAAAAAATGATTAATACCAACTCCAAGTCATATGTAGCATAATTTCTCTCATGTGATTTCAATTGTCTTGATGTATATGCCATTATTTTATCATGCTATATTAAAATGCACCCCAAGCCTTTCAGTGATGTATCACTACATATTTGGAATCCTTCAATACCAGATGGTATAGTCAATATAGGTGTAAAAACTAAAAAAATCCTTAACTTCTTGAAATTATCTTCACATTCTATTATCCACTCAAATGGTACTACTTTTTGTGTTAGTCAAGTTAAAGGAAGTGCAATATGAGAAAATCTCTTAATTAATTTTGATAGTAGCCTCTTATACTAAGAAGACTGCACACTTATGATACATTAGTAGGTCTTTGTCATTCAATAATAGCTTGGACCTTCTAAGAATCTATAGATTTTCCTTCTCCACTTACTAAATGTCCTAGAAATGAATTAGTTTGTAAACAAAATTTACACTTTAAAAATTTAAGATACAACTTATTTTGTCTCAATGTTTCTAATTATAATCTCAAATGGTTTGTGTTATCTTCTTTTGTTCTTGAATATACTACATCAATAAAAACAATCACAAATTTATCTAAATATAACTTAAACATCGAGGCGCATTCTGGTGTAATGACTGAAATTTTTGTAAGAAACTCCGTAGTTAAGTGTGCTCATCCCAGAGCAATTCTAGGATGGGTGACCTACTGAGAAGTTATACCAATTGGGCAAAATCGTGAGGCTCTTAGGCCAAAGAGGACAATATCTCGGTACTTAAGAGTTTGAGCTGTTACAAATGGTATCATAGCAATATACCAGCCAGAAGATAGGAGCTAAGTGTCATACAAGACAAAGTGCTATGTCATTGGAGCCACATCTTGAATCCTATATTGGACAAAGTGCTATATGATTGGAGCCACCACTTGAACTTATAGGGGCCACCTTTACAGTCCTATCTGCTGATGGATAATTATGGAATACATATGCTGACGAGAATGTTAGTTATTTAAGTGAGAGGAGATTATGAAACCCCTTAAGTAAAAAGAAAGCTAACTCTTAAACATCGAGGTGCCTTTTAGTGTAATGGCTAGAATTTTTGTAAGAAACTCTATAGTTAAGCGTGCTCATCCCAAAGCAATTATGGGATGGGTGACCTACTAGGAAGTTACACCAACAAGGCAAAACCATGAGGCTCTTATGTCAAATCAGACAATATCTTGATAGTTAAGAGTTTGTGCTGTTACAGGGGAGGCCATAAGGATGGGTTGATTCGGCTCTTGCTTGTTCGTGCATCCCAAAACGAGAGAGGGAGTTCTTCGTGCGAGAGAGGCAGACAGGAGAGGCTTTGTGCGATCCCAGAGAGAGCGACAATCGATCCATTCGGTATTCTTCTTTTTCTTCTTCTTCTTTTCAATTCTTCT